CCTTCCTTTTCCCCCCTTTCCTTCCTCCCTCCCTCCCTGCCTCCCATTCCCATATCCATCCTTCCTTCCTTCCCCTCTTTTTCCTTCCTTCCTCCCTCCCTCCCTCCCTTCCTTCTCCCCTCCCTCCCTCCCTCTCTCCTTCCCTCCCCTTTTTCCTTGCAGGGCTCCCGGGTGCCATCGGGATCGGGGACCCCAGCGCCTCCCATTGCAGCAGGTGAGCACGTGCCCCTTTGCGGAGGCCGGGCTGGGGGAGAAGGGGCAAGGCGGGGGGACCAAGCGCGAGCCAGGGACCCCCCCCCTCCTCCACCACCCCCGGCCCGGGGACTCGGAGGCCGATGGGAGAGGTACCTGCTGCTGCTGCTGCTGCAACCGAGGATCCTCCTCCTCCTCCTCCTCCTCGCTGGGCTCCGCCGCTCCGCTCTGCTGCAAGAGGCAAGCGGGCAGGCGAGGAAAGCGGGCACGCGCATGCGCGTTCTCTCTCTCTCTCCTGCCAGCCCGGCGCGTCCCCGCGCGCCGACTGAGCGTCCTCCGAGGGCGCGCGCCCGGCCCCCCTCCCCTCCGGGGGTGGGCCCGCTCCCTCCGTCCGCCTCCTTTTCCCGGGCATGAGCCTCGCTCTCCCGCCTCGCCTCCTCTTCCTCCTCCTCTTTTCTCTTCCTCCTCCGGTCGCCTTGGAAACCGACCCGACTGAAGGAGCGCGGCTTGGGTGCGCGCGCGCGCGAGCGACCGGCCCTCGGGCGGGTGGGCACGAGATCGCCGCCTCTCTCTCTCTCTCTCTCTCTCTCTCTCGTCACGTGACGCGCTCGCGCTCGGGCGCCAGCCAATCGAGGCGGACAGATGAGTCTGTCGGGGGTTTGGAGGGGGGTTTGTAGTAATAGTATGAGAGGGGAGGGGGGAAAAGGGGAGGGGTGGGAGGAGTCCGGAAAAGGGTTGGGCGGTTGCTGAGGGGAGGGGCTTCTTGGGTGGGGGAGGGGAGAAAGGACTGAAGGGGGTTGTGAGGGAAGCGATATATTATAATTCTATGTAATTATAATAATGTCAGTAATATTTATTAATAAAATAGTTAATATAATTATTAAAATATTCATATTTCATGCTTATTAATATTATATTGTATCATGTTAATAAAAACTTGTTCTTTTACTTTGTAATATAAACAAAACATGATGTATTTATACACAAAATATAAAAAACAGTGATCTCTAATCTTACAGTTATTACACTAATAATAATATATAAAATGCCTATAATATCTAATCTCTCTATATAAACTGCCTAATATTTACTAGTGTTATCTAATGTTTCATATATAGTATAGATAATGTGAATAATCTATAAAACATAGGTGGAATTTTGTGTATTATATATTTATCAAATTTTTAAAACTGCCCATGCCCCTCTGAGAGGGAGCCCTCTGCACAGAAACCAATGTTCTTTTTTTGGTTGATAATAAATACATCAAAATAATAATAATAATAGCAGGAGGAAGGAATTTCTTCACATTCACATTAAGAGGAAGGAATATTAGGTTTGCAACCTTTTGTTATAAAACCAATAAAGGCAAAAGAAAGAAAGAGAAAGAAAGAAAGGAAGGAAGGACGGAAGAAAGAAAGAAAGAAAGAAAGAAAGAAAGAAAGAAAGAAAGAAAAAGAAAGAAAAAGAAAGAAAGAAAGAAAGAAAGAAAGAAAGAAAGAAAGAAAGAAAGAAAGAAAGAAAGAAAGAGAAAGATAATAAAGCCCCTGTATGGGTTCCACAGAATCATAAAAAATTGGACAAGATTGAATGGATAGCATCATAATCGTCAATGAAACCAATAAAATGCAAAACAAAAGCCCCATAGCAGTTGTGCTAATCTAAACTGATATCTGAATTAAATTACAATAACAATGGGATTAAAATGTGATAATAAAAAAAGCTTGGAAAAAAAAATAGAAATAGGATTAATTGTAATAGTTAGATTTCGTTATTAGGATAACTAATCACCTCTCAAGTTAAAAGGCCTAAAAGGGTGCCTTCAAAGGGGCTGGTACTCTTCATAGTCATGACACAATATTTCAGATTATATTCAGAGATAGAGGTATAAATAGTTCTACAGCCCACCTGGTGCTGTGTCTTTAGTTTTATTACGGAATTTTAGGATGGACGGTAGCCACGCAACAAACCCTGTTTTGGTGGCCAAGAGGTTTCAGGTCTTTTTATTGTGAAATTTTATGTTTTCCATAAATGCAAATGCCTATCTCCAACAGTCGTTTGCCCCAATTAATTCTTTACCTGAGTCATAAAAATGAATAAAATGTTATAAAAAGAATAGTGTGTTAGTCATATTTTAGACATGCGGATGGTGCAATGTTTAAGCAAACATGGAAAATCCTGGCCAAATACACTTTATGGTGAAAAAAACAAAGGGGCTGTGTAGTAAAAAGTGTTTTTTTTAAAAAAAAAATATTTTAACTTGAATTTGCTATGCAAATGAGAATTATTAAAATTGCTACATTCATTTCAGTATTCAGGGTCTATGAGTATTGGAGCTATAGTATCAAGTAAAATAATAATAACAAATTGACTTATTTGTTGTGATTTTTTTTACATATAGCAAAATTGTTTTATTTATTTATAAATAATTAAACTTGTATTGGAATATTGGGAACAATGTTGCATAGTAGGCCATAAAATAATGGGCAATGCAATGTAGTCTTAGCCTTTTAGAAAGCAAACATAGAGGCATGTCTCTCTGGGAAAGAATTTGTGAAATGAGAAACCATAACTGAGATTGTCATTTCTTGTGATCTGTAACAGCATCATAAGAAACTTTAATTGCAAGGCAAGTTGATGCGAAATGAAGTCTTTTATACTGAGCGTAAGAATTGAATTTATAATCCTTGTATAATTTATAAGAATATCTATGGGGAATCTTCTAAGCCAAGATATGCATTTATTTATGCCTTTATTAATTTCTAATACGATGCATTCATTTTGGCCAACCTGTCAACTGCAATGCTCTCTCACAGTCAAGTTTAAAATTTCTAAAAAAAAAACCTGAATAAAATAAGAATGGGTGAAAATGCTGTTTTGAATTTAAAGCTGCAGTGCTAATTCAAGCAGGCTTACTTTGGAACAAACAAAATTCAAAAAGATTCAAAAGTTTCTTGAAGGACAAAGTATCTTAATAGCATTGTCTCTTGAATAATAATGGGTTCTCCTAAGTTTAAATGATCACGATACATACACATGTATACAAATTATGCTATCAAAGGTTTCCTGGTTAGTGTACGGCAGCTATGATTTTATATACAATATCTGTGGACAGATTTATAGATTCCAGATTGAAACTAGGCACTCAGAAATAATGGAACAGCTGTTCTCAACTGCATTCATACATCCCTACTTCAGTGCATCTGGTTTTCTGGGCCATATTTAGTTTGTTATCTGCGCATTGACAAAACGTCCATTTGTCAGTTATAAAAGGATCTGCACATATATTACGCCAGTACATTTAGGACATCCAAGGTTCCTGGGAAGATGTTGATGCGTATGAAGGCCAACGCCAGCTGAAGAACTGACAGCTGCAATTTCACACTGTTGTGTATATTATAATAATAATAATTCTGCTGCTTGTATTGATTATTACATGTGCTATTGCTAACACAATGAATATTTCATATTTGTCATATCCAAAATATGTTCTTTCCACTCAGTATTATTTGATTATGCTGAGGCACAACTAACTGCAGTTTAATGCTTCATGGCAGACAAAACTCCATCTGCATGTATTTCTGTCTCATTTAAATTGCCAGCAGTGATCAAATCTACATATTGAATTATGACTGTACAGGCTTATTTGAAAATATGCCTTGCATTCCAGTAGCACAGACTGTTAACAACGTACAGTATGTTATGCGTACTAGTTTGAAGTCAAATCCTTCCCAGATATAAATTTGGAACCCAAAAGACTATTCCTGAAGTCATATTCACACTTATTGAAGCTGTTTACATATTGGCTTAGATGTTGAAAAAGCAGATTAATCCATTTTAAAATAAATAGTAAAAATCACCCCCTCTTTAAAAAAGTGATTATTTTAAGAGAGGCATTATTTTTAAAGCAGGGATGAGTCACCTATATTGTCACCTGCTTACAGGTCTCTTTTTAAAGCAAAACCTTAAAGTATGCAGGTAAATTAGAGAAGAAAGTGACAGTAGGAATATAATATCTTGAAATTCAGAGGAAGTGTATTCCTTGTTTTCATGTTAGGCAACAATTAGCAGCAAAAGGCAGTTGCTGCGTTATTCTTGGCTGTTCCTTGACCTAGGTGGAAAATAAGAGGAGGGAGTAGCTACTATTTTTGGTCTGCTTTTAAGTTCTGGACAATTAACAGTGACCATTCAAGATGAACTTTAAAAAAGTTGCTTAAGTACATTATAAAAAAAATGAATTTCTCACAGATCCCTTGTGCCTTGGACATTGAAGTATAAAATAATACAGGCAGTCCTCAACTTAATTCATTTAGTGACCAATCGAAGTTACAACGGCACTGAAAAAGTGACTTATGACCGTTTTTCACACTTATGACCATTGCGGCATCCCCATGGTCACCTGATCAAAATTCAGACACTTGGCAACTGGCTCACATTTATGACGGCGTCCCAATGGGTCACGTGATCCCCTTTTGTGACCTTTCGACAAGCAAAGTCAATGGGGGAAGCCAGATTCGCTTAACAACCATGTAACTAACCCACCGCAGTGATTCACTTAACAAGTGTGGCGAGACAGGTCGTAAAAATGGGGCAAAACTCACTTAACAAATGTCTCACTTAACAACACAAATTATGGGCTCCGTTGTGGTCGTAAGTCGAGGACTATCTGTATTTAAGAAGCAATCGAAGCAATTTGTGCCAAAACCTGCCAAAAGATGGGAAATCTAAGATTGGGTTGAATTCCAATTTATATATGGCCGTGTTTCACTTTTTCAAAGTCCTAATAAATGTCCTTCCTTCCTTTAGGCAGGAAGGTCACTGGCATCAACTCTGCACTGAGAATAACTTCTGTCATCACAACAAAAAGATGACTAATTGCAGGTAAGTTGTCATCCACCATCTGTCTTCCATCTGTTAAACATTTATTTGGCCCATTGTGGGCCAATTGCTGAGTCAGGAAACCCCAAAGGGCTCCTACTGCAAAGTCAGTGAAGTTACCACAGACCCCCAAACTGGGACTGACAACCCGGATTCAAAGTTACGACCTCTGCTGCCCCCCCTGGCGTGTGACCACATTTTGAGTGCTGGGCAACTGGCCCACATTTACAGCCGTTTGCAGTGCCCCCCCAGTCACAAGACCATGATTCACAGTGTTTTTGCCGTAAACCAGCATTTATGTCCAGTTTCCAGCAAAAAAACACCCCACGGCAAACATTAGGTTTGCTGAACGACCCTGGTGCTTGCTTAAAGACCGCCGCTCTCTCTTTATGAATGCTGGAAAAAAAATGCCATAAAATTGGGTCTGGTCACAGACTGATGCTTTACAACTGTCCTGATTTATGACCAAAACTGTGGGCTCAATTACGACCTTTGCAGCATTCCTTTGATCATGTGATCAAAATTCAGATGCTCGGCAAGGGGTTCATATTTACGACGGTTTGCAGTGTCCCGGGGCCACGTGATCAGTTTTTGTGACCTTCTGACAAGCCGTGTCCATGGGGAAAGCAGATTCACTTAACAACCGTGTCGCTAACTTAACAACTGCGATAATTTGCTTAACCACCCGGGTCAAGAAAGGCTGTGAAATGGGCCAAAACTCACTTAAGAAATGTTTCACTTAGTTTTATTGGGCCATAAGTTGAGGACGATCTGTACTGTGGGAATTTCTTAACGTACGACAGACGGTCAGCTTCGTTGCAAGCTGCACCAGCTTGGAAGGGAAATTATTGGCTTCTCAGACTCTCTTCTCCTGTTTCCAGATCATTACTATTGTGCCGAGTCAGGAATATTGCGCATTTGCTGCGCAAGCATCCTTTCAGTGGCACGTTGCATCGGGAGCCACATTATTCTGTGCTCCAACAGATTATGTGCTAAAGCACCATTAAAAAAAAAAAAGCACAACAGCTCTGCTTTGCTGGAGGAAATGGAGATATTTGCTTTGACTCCACTTCAGTGCATAAAAAGTTCTAAATGAAGGACATTTCGGGGATATCTTTTAAGTTTAATAAATGTACTCAACTTCTGGGATAGGCTGCGACTTTTGTCCAGGCAGACTTTGTCTGATTCATTTAAGAGCAATGTGGAATTTAGGAGTGCATAATTTGTTAAGTTATTTGATCCCACTTGATAAAAAGCGACCACGAAAGAGACTTAAAACAAGAGGGATCAACCACATCGCCAGTTGGCAAAAGAAAGCTCGGGGTCGTATTGGTTAGAAACAGGCAGAAGAGGCCTTCATCCTGCAGTGGATAGACCATGGCTAAAATGATGATGATACGTAATGATGATGATTTGTTAATTAGGGTTAGCTACCAGATATTGCAGTCCTTGAAGCTCCCCGCTCAGTCCTTGAAGCACCCCGCAAACCATTGGTGTGAAGTTCCCATCCAGTTATCTGTTACAGAAGTGAGGGCACAGATGTGTAGACATGTGGTCTCATATTTAGCTATTTCACCTTCATTTAATGGAGGCCATAAATGGCCTCTTGTGCAAGGCTGGAACTGACTGCAGATGTGCAGCTCTGTCATTTTCAGATTCTAATCCCAGAGATGCTAGAATTAAAATCTGCTATCCTTCCATGGGATGTACATCATAAACGGAATATTGTTCATTAATTGGGAGAGTATAGCTCACTCTCTTGTTTGAAATTGAACAGTTGTGCAATATCTTAAAGATGAGAAAAAATATTAATACGGCACAAAGGCACTGAAGCACTGCAATTCATTTTTGATCGATCGGCTCTAGTATTTAAATAATAGGATTTAAGTCTTAAAAGTGTTTAAAAGTTCTTTGTTGCTTTATTCTAAATTAAATGTTCGGGGGAAAAATGTTTCTAGAATGCGAAGTTGGTAGCTTGAACGTGCCTGGTTGCTAATCAATCACATTTTTTTTGCTTATTAACTGAAATAATTTTACGCTCTTTAGTATATTGCTTTCTCAGACACATAAAAAATTCTCCCACACAGACCATTAATTTCGGCGTTGGTCTAAAGCCTACTTGTAAATCGATTATTGTACAATACATTTGCATTTGCTTAGATCATCTTATTTTACAAACTGCATTTAGCATGTTTCAGATTATTTGCTGAGTCTCGCCCTTCCAGCCTTAGTCTTTTAAGCCATAGTAGCTCTCTTTGTAAATTAGAATTATGGTTGCTGTCAAGCATCACAGTAAGTTACTACTTTCATTCCTCATACTAGAAACCAGGTTTCAGCGTTTCTCAACATCTTTTTTTTTAAAAAATCCAGTTTTCAAGCCCATGGAAGAAAGTGGTGAGATTGATAATTGGGGCCATCTGCAGCCAGCAGAAGGCCAGCATTGACCTTTGGTGGTCACCAGCTGTATCGTCCTCCCGCCAGTTTCTCCATCTCCTCCCTTAGGCATGATTTCAGCAATGGAGAGAGCATTTGAGATGATCAGGGTCAACAAATAAAACTCTATTTACGCTGTTATGATTGTTCAGGTAGAGTTCTGTCATGTTGTTTATTGTGCTATTAGAAACAACAACCCAGTTCTGTCATTAAAGGCAGGGTTTGATTCTAAGCAAGTTTACTTAGATGTTAGCTACATGTAGGTCAATAAAACCACACAGTAAGTACAGTTAAGGTTATAATAATGGATATTACACAGGCATTTCAGCTTCAAGAGGCAGAAACATAGCTAGGTAGTAAACCATCTGGTTTTTTACTTTTCTCTGTTATCTTCAAGTTTCTTACGATTGTCATTTCTGCTTTCTGGTTTGAGAAGCAATAACAATCCGTTGATAGAGAGAAATGGCTGACGTGTTGGTAGAAACTATAAGAGGCAGGGCACCTTTCTCGCTCTAGTAAAACCTGCCTGTAATCAGTTAATATCATCTTGTTGTCACAATACACCTTCCTGGAAGCCTCAAGAGGCCTCAAGGATGGTCCCCCCCCCCCCATGGTAACCAGAGTAGCATCTCAAGAAAACAAAACTACACTGAAAACACAAACCTGCACAAATTAAACCTGTAATTCACGGCACTTTTAATGCCTGCCGTTATAGGCAGTTGATGCCCGATGAGAGAGGATGCTAGATAGATCGTACCAGTCCAGAAATAACTTTTGCATCAACAGCATGAATTAGCGAAATAAGCAAAATTATTCTCCTATGACTGTGTTTCTCAACCTTTGGCAAATTGAAGATGGATAGAAGATGGGTAGACTTCAACTCCCAGAACTTCCTATGCTAGCTGGGGGATTCTGGGAGTTGAAGTCCACCTATCTTCAACTTGCCAAGGTTGCGAAATCTTGTCTTATGACAAAGGCATCAAAGCATCCAAATCAGCACCAGTTCTTATCCGTGCCAGGGTTGACCAAATTACATCCACCCATATCTGACTAAAGAATAAACAATCCAGGAGAGCTGAAGGAAACAAGCCACATTCTTCAAGGAGAAATGTAGGAATGGTGTCCCTCACTTGGGTTTGGCATTAAACAAGCCACACTTATTGGGCAGGGGAGATCTTGTTGCAAATATTTCGTATTTTTAACCTATTATTTTTTACCAATCTCTTGCTTGAGTCAACCATATCTCTGTAGGCTTTTCTGTGGGCAACAGTAGGAAAATTGTTTACCCTCTCATCCAAGATTTTTTTTTAAAAAAAAATCTGTTCATTTTCTAGCATAGACCCCAGCAAATTCAGGAAAAAAATAATGGCACCATGAATTTTTGTACCCTCTGTACCGAAGCGTTTGTTTTCACAACTGGTTTTATCTTGATTTGCCTCCCCTGCATATTCAAAAGATTGGAAATGCTTATATTAATGCTGGGATACCAGTCAGAATTCGTTTGTGGTACATGAGCTCTGCTGTAGGGGACGAGGAGAGCCTTCCTCATCCCTCCCTCCTTGCTCAGAGCTCTGCCTTTATCAATTTTGTCCCTGCCATATTTATTAATCGGCTGAACTGAACTACCGATGCCTTGAAGGTGAGGATTTTGTCTCTTCCAAGGTTGAAGCCACAAAAACAAAGGAGGACTTTGTAAGATGAGAACTCCTCCTAAGGCAAAAACAGTGTTTACCTCTCTAGCCCCTCCCAATAACCCCTCCCCACCTCAAGTCTTGCATTGCTAGGTCTCGGTCGTTTTAACCCCAAATGGGGAAACCAGGATAATAAATTGTAATTATTGATCTAGTATTTGCTTGGCCAGTGCCACCAAGCAATCCGCAACGAAACAACTTCCCCCAAACAGGAAGAAACTAAATGCCACCTTTTATTTCTCTCTCTCTCTCTTCAACCAAATATATTACTTTACAGGTAGTCCTTGACTTAAAACTGGATTTTCCATTGCTAAGCAAGAATGGTTTTTAAGTGACACAGGTCCAATTTGGCAACTTTTGCCAAGGATGTTAAGCAAATTGTTGCAGTTGTGAGTCAGAGAGAGAGAGAGAGAGAGAGAGAGAGAGAGAGAGTAATTTTTTAGGGTTTAATTCTAAGTGCCCACTTTTTTGCTTCTAATAAAAGTGTTGTTCTGTTGCTTTTTTTTTTACTATTTAAACAGCAACAGTGAAATTAAATTATGAAAAGCCAAACTATTTAATTGGTTAGTTCGGTAAACTATGATGTGAACCATGTAACAAAAATGAAAACGGTGTCCTAAAATGTAGGAAATGTGGAAAATGTTTTGGCTAATGAGAGATCAGGTCCACCTTTCCTCATGACTGTATCTTGGATACTTAATGATCAATACCACTATTGACACAAGGAGCCCCGTCTGTGCCCTGAAATTTTCGGAGTCGGAAAGGATGGAGCCAGCAGGACAGGCTAGAATAAGAGTGTACCATGAAATATCTTTTTTTTTTTATAAAAAAAAAATTCTGAATACTCCACTGACTATGTCAGCAGATGTGTCACCGTATTTTTATGACAAGGTTTCAAGTAAAGTGGTATCATTTTGCAAACAGAGTGAATCACCCTGTCAGTTCCAGATAGAAAGATTATTTCCTACACCAGGTCACAAAATATTTCAGCAAGAGAATCAGTTGCTGGGAGAGATTCAGGAACCATACATTTTTTTTCATATCAGCACAGCATTCCTATCTATAATGCAACCACTGAAATTTGGCTTGTTTGAGCAGTTACCATAGCTGCACTTCCAAAATGCAAGATATATATTATTTTCTCCATGGCTACATCTAGAGTTCTGGAAGATGCTTCAACCATCCGATTAAGAATAGTAAGTTTATGGAAAATAACTCTTGGGATAGGTTCCATGCCCTTGGGTTTATGAAAAATACTGTCTCTGTTATGAGGTAACTTGATAATATTTTATGCAGAATTTGCTGAATAAGCCAAAGTGCCCGGTTCACGTATAACAATAAGCTATGAAGAATGGTTTATATTATCTTGTACTTTTTGCCAACTAAGCGTCAGGGGACCATCTCTGATTTAATGAAATCTGAGTCCACTGGGCAAAGAACATTTCTGATATACGTGATTATAGGATTCAGAATCTGAAGGTGGTAATTTTAAAAACTGAGAACTGTGACTTGTCATTTCCCGATTCTCTCCTTCCACGTTCAAAACTTTAAGTCTAAACTTAGCTGGGTTAAATATTTAAAGTGTCTATCTCAGTGGTGGTGAACCTATGGCACGGGTGCCAGAGGCGGCACTCGGAGCCCTCTCTGTGGGCACACGCACCGTCTCCCCAGCCCCGCCTCCTCCCACAGCCCCCTTCTCACCAGCAGCCTCCCCGGAGGAGAGTCGCCCCTGTGCATGGCCCACGCGAAGCAGCACAGCCAAGGACATGGTAGCCAGGCAGCGGGGACAAGACTTTGCCCTTGCGCCCCATCGCATGCAGATGATGCTGTGGGGCATGGGTGGAGGGCGTGGCCGCCATGGCGCTGCTGGGCTGCCTGGGTGATCTGTGGCGGGCTGTGGAGGTAGCGGGTGGCCCAGTGGGCAGAGCGGAGTGGGGACAGGAGTGGGGATGGGGGTGGGGGTTCGGGTTTTGGGCACTCGGTCTCTAAAAGGTTCGCCATCACTGGTCTATCTCATTATTTCTAGACATTAATGTGAAACAATCGTGGTTCGATACTTTGGAAGTATTCTTGGCAACTGGCTCATATCTATGACGGTCGCAGTGTCCCGGGGTCACGTGACCTTCCGACAAGCAAAGTCAATGGGGAAGCCAGGTTCACTTAACAGCCATGATTACTAACTTAACCACTGCAACGATTCATTTAACAACCGCGGCAAGAAAGGTCGTAAAATGGGGGCAAAACTCACTTCGCGAATCTTCTGATCAAATCTGAGATGATTTCCCAAGAGCAACAAATGCCTTGCCGGTCTTCAGCACCGCTGTCCCGATCTTCCCTTTGCCCTACAGACTTGGTCTTCCTGCTGTCCCTCTGGCAGGATTCCCAGACTTTCCCTGTTTCTCAAGAAGGTTAGGATGTTTCTTCTGGATCCTGGAAAGCCCACCTCAAGGAGAGTCAGTCTGGTGGCAGCGTGCACATGAAGCCCTGCACTTTGCCTCCCAATGAGTTTAAGACCCCTTGTCTTTTACCCTTCCGTGCGTACGTCAGGCTGGTGAAACTGGGTGGTGGTGGTTGTATCTCCTTCCCCCTCAAAACACACACAACGAAAAAAAACTGTCTGGCCTGGCTGTGCCCCATGTGCAAAACAGGTGATAAAAATATCCTTGTCACATCAATAACACTTCGGCTGTCCTAAGGGCAGTGACCTTACGCTGCAACCGCTGATGGGAAGGAGTTGCAAATAGAGGCTCCTGTACAATTGCAGGCAGGGGCTTCTCTGACACTGCCGAGTAGCCTGGAACCCTCGTGGAGTCGAAAGGGAATTAAGTGCCCATCCAATGTGGTAACTAGAGATTGGGTCCGCCGTTTGTTTGTGTTGCTATTTGGGAGCTGCTCTGAAGTTCACTCCAATGTCAGTGACAGGGCATTTTCACTTTACGATCAAAGTCTCCTCCTGGGAGATTGACAGGTCTTCAGTTCCCGGAGAACAAAGGGGCGGTTCTCCTGCCCATACTTGGCCTCTTGTGTATACTTTTGAGCGTGTGTCAACCTCACCCACGTTGCACGATGCCGTCCTATAAATCTCCAGCTTTAAAGCATCAGGTGCATAATGCCAAACCTCGTGGATGAGCACACGGCTTTTTACCTTTGGGTGCATGCTTTTAATTTGGGGCAAGCCTTTGAGATATTAACACCCAGGTAAGCTCCTCTCCTCTCCGTTTGTTTTGTTTTGTTCTAACCGAGGCCGCTTGCTGTTTTGAAAACTGCGCTATCTTACCTATCTATAAGGTCGATGAGGCGTAAGAAGAAGCCACAAGGCAAAACAGTGGCCAGACTTACATAATACAAGGGATTGTATTTCCATCTATGTATTGCAGAATCAGCAGACGTAGAGAAACCGTAAAGACATCAAACCGCTTTGCAAGGAGCACCAGCATTTGGTTATAGTCATAGAGTAAGTATAGACATTTCTCGCCTATTGATAAATCCATACTCGATCATCCTTCATTGATAAGCAAAGAGGTTGTTTCAAGGATTTTATTCTCACAACGATGGCATGCACTTATGTTCTTTGATGCAAATGTAAAAATATTTCAAGTCAAAAATTAAATATCAACAATTCAGGGTCCACAAAGAAACAAGTAATCTAATGATTAATTAGGTAGCGAGAGGCAGTTCTGGTGTAAATTTCTTGCAGCAAAGTTATACAAAGAGAAAGGTCATATGCTGTTATTCTGTTTACCTTATCCCATTTTTCAAAACATTACGGCAGAAATAAGGAAAATATTTTTTTAAAAAGAACGACGACAGACAAATACATATTTGAGGAAAACAGCATGTAAGTTAATATGTTGTTTAGTGGAGTAGAAAACTGCTTACTTTGCCAAGAACTCCCTCAGGCTAAAATATTATATATCTGAAAATACGTTATCTTGCAATCACTTCATTTTATTTTGGACTATATTTGCATAGAATTGCTTTTTAAATGTGCATTACAGTTTTGTGATTAGGTTTTTAAATAATTTGAATCTACAATTTATCAAATCTTAGAATTTTCTTGTCAATATCCGGTTTCAAATTTTATTTGCCCTATATAAATTGAAAGAAGTAATAGTTGGAAATGACAATACATTCTGCTTGCTGATCTTTTTCTCATCCTTCCAGCTTGTGTAAAATAGATAGTTCTCCAGACTGATTCAGAGTTATAACTAATTAAATGAGATTACATTTATTTATTTGCTCATTTACTTGCTGAATATCTATCTCACTGCAGTCTTGTGATTCTCAGTGGGTCCCACGAAGTATAAAAAATTAAAAATACCTACAATAGGATTAAAATAAAATGAAACCAAACCTTATGCATGCCTACATAGAAGTAAGTTCCCTGATGAGCTTTACTTTCGAGAGCGAACAGCCCGTTCCTTCAGACTGCCTCTCTCATCCTTCCGTGTTTCTCAATCTTGGCAAACTTTAAGCTGTGTGGACCTCAGTTCCCAGAATTCCCCAAACCAGCATGCAGATTGGGAATTCCCCTGGGGACTAGGGAATTCTGGAAACAGAGCTTAAACTTGCCAAAGTTGAGTAAGCCTGCCCTAATGGGTGTTTCCTGGGGATTTTGTGTTTTGTACCACAGCACTTGTGAAATATTCCCGTACGTTATAAATTTCTTAAGTGGATGTCAGAAAGTGTGGTTTCTTGATGTCCACATTCTCTCTCACAAACAACTGGTATGAGCAAACTATGTTTAGTGTTTGCTAAAGCAACTGCAAAGGTCTTTCCGGGCTAGGGGCAGGCACGCCACGAGTTTCCCGAAGGACACAACTGAGTTGAGATTGATTTAGCCAGCCTCTTAACCTGTAAGAGGAAGACTAAAAATAGCCAAGAGGCGGTGTACCCTACCTGCACGTTGTGTATTGCGAAAGGTCACGGGGCATTTCTTTAAAGAGTTCTTGAGGAGGTGTGAACCAATGTTATTTATTTATTTATTAAACTTATATGCTGCTCATTATACCAGTGGTCTCTCTCTCTCTCTCTCTCTCTCTCTCTCTCTCTCTCTCTCTCTCTCTCTGAGCAAGACGTTCAGGGCCCCAATTAAATTAAGAGTAGTCCTTGCACGTTTGTATTTTATTTATTTTTTTAAAAAGAATGCAAACCTCTGGGAGGGAAAAAACACACACGTAAAACATTGCCTCCATGGTCATTTCCATCCCTTGTTTCAATTACTGTTCTGCTAACCATAACATTGGAGAGGCTAAGCAGTGTTTCTCAACCTTGGCAACTTTACGACGTGTGGACTTCAACTCCCAGAATTCTCTAGCTAGCTGGAGAATTTTGGGAGTTGAAGTCCACACATCATAAAGTTGCCAAGGTTGAGAAACACTGGGCTAGAGGGCCCTGCAGCTTAAGCCCTATTGCAGCCTAAGAATCCTCTCTTAAATTTTAACTTAAAATATAGTAATGATTTGCTCTCTGAAATCTTATGGTTATTTTTTTTCTGTTTAGCATGAGAACATGCTAATACCAAATGGGAAATACTAATGTAACCTCCTCCATACCAATTCAGAAATTGATATTAAGATAATTAAGTGGGTCATTTAATAGGATCAACTTTACTCAGTTATTAGAAAGCAACAAAATGGGGTTTAATTGCAAGCAGAAGCATTTAATTAAGAGTCACGTAGTTCTTTAAAGTCTTAATACAGTGATGCTTTGCCTGCCAGTCTTAAATAAGATCAGGGATGCAATTCTGATTTTAAAATTAAAGTATTATCTCAAAAAATATGAAGTGACGATACTGGACACCACACACTGATGTGACATCATCAGGATATGCTGTACCCAAAAATTCCGCTCCCAGAAAAGGATTATTATAAAGCAGCTAAAATATAAGGTTAGTTCTGAATCAACTCAGTGAATTTAATTCATCAGATCATCTGAAGAATCTCTGCATTGTTTGAGCATGTTCATTTATTTCTTACAAGATTTCCAGGAATCTAACAATTTTGTTGGAACAAAGTAACCTAAAAAAAGCCAGACTATTTTTTTTTCAAATTAGTACCATTAAGCCAACAAAGTTTTGGCAAGTGCAAGGAAGATTTGCCATTATATTTAAAATTAATTGAGTTCATGTAGAGCATTAAAGTCATTCATTATCTGTAGTAAGTAAGGTAATGTATTCAGTTTGATGTTTAACCCAAGTAGCAGTTAATCAGATAGCAGACATTTGGATTAAAACAAGGTGGTTTTTTTTCTGCAGGGCAATTTTTGAAGAATAGCCTGTGTCCAAGAATTACAAATTGTGGTCAGAATAATATGCGAACAGGTAATTCCATGAATATTTTTGTTTATTTTAACATTAAGTTATACCTATTTGGAATAATGTATCCCTTACATATCTAGATGTACAGTATAAGCATTTGATTGTTTTGATGGCTGGTCCGAATGTGATACTAACACCTTGAATTCTTTAGAGAATTCAAAGTACTTTATATACTGAACTCAAATACGTTCTAAATTATGATTTGTGGATATGGACAAGTGTGTTGTTTATACTGGCCTTCTCATTACATCTGGGGTATAATTCATTTCTGCCTTTTAAAATCGGTGCAATGTACCGTTGTAGCCAAACTGACAAATTATAATTTGAGGTATCCTTCAGAACCCAGAATCAAACTGTCAATTGCAGTCTCGTTTTGATAATCGCTTGATTGTTGTTGATACCTTAAAATCCTTACATAAAGCAAATTTCCTCTCATGGTTCACGATGGATGTGTTTTTCAAGCCTCTTGTGAGGAATGGAGATATGTAAAAAGCCCCTGTGCTTTCATTCTATCGCCTGCTTTAATAATGTCAAGCTTTTGCCTGGAGAGTTCTCAGCTTGCCTTGTTAGTCTGGTTTTGCCTTGTTAGTCTGGTTTTGAGCGTCTCATCTCCTTGTCTGTCCTGTCTCTCAGCCTGCACGTAGATCAATAACAAAAATCCAGCAGGCAGGTTTGACTGACTCGTAAGACCTAAACCTTTAACTTAAATCATATTCATTTCCCCCAAATTTTAAAACATAGGAGTGGAACTTTCAAAAAGTCAAATCTAGGCTTTAAAGTCATAAACAGTTGCCGGCTTATTGCAAATTTCCTCCTGGGCAGGGTACTGAAAAAAATAAAATAAATTATTTTGCCCCAAAGTATTTGGAGTTGTTTAGAAACCGTTTGCTTCAATGCTTTTGGTGCAAGTAGATGTTTTAGATAAGACTGGATGCTTAGATCAAGACTGGATGTCAAAATAATGAGTTTTTCTTTATGAGATGAGAAAGGAAGAAGGAAAGTGCCAGGGAGAGGAGTTCTCATTAGACTTAGTTCCTTGGACTGTGGCATTCTTCTGGTTGAGTTGTCTAAACTGAACTCCAGGGAGGTGAGGTGATCTATTGCTATTATCCCATGGCTTGCTCAATAGATAATTCAAGAAAGTTGGACTGAGACAGCATCGCTCTTTCCTTTGGCAAGTATGATCTGGGATTCTGCAGAATCCTATTTTATTCCTCATATGTTGGGATATTTGCTAAGACACTCCAGCTTTCTATTTATGGGAGATGTTAATTCTAGACATTATCTCTAACAAAGTACTAGCTTGTAAACCATTAATTTTGTTATTTTAACTATTTTGATCTGGATACACAGGTTGCAGTCTTAACCTCAGATCTGTCGTGTCCAAAACACAAACTTCTGGCACAATCAAGGCTCTTCTCCTTTCTTCTCTAAAAAATCTGAAGCAAACGTCTTCGCCAAGCAAAGTCTTCAGCGTAAAAATAGAAATTCTGGTTGGTTGAGTTTAGTTTGTTAGCAAAGAGCAGTACTGGAAGAACCAGCTGGTCAGGTTATGAGTCTATAAACCAAACGGTATTGATGTAGAGAATTAGTGGGCTGTTCCCCACCCCACTGGCACGGCTCTCTCCCGAGCTATGGTGTAACAGCCAGGATGGAAGATCTCAGGGGTAGCTGCCATGAAAAACACCCCCACCACCCCCATTTTTACTAGAGAGAGCGTGGTAGAGAGTAGTGAAAATATCAGGCTCCGAATTAGCTTTGCTTTTCAGAATTTGGGCAAGGGGAAATGGCCCAAGAGTCCCCACAATTTGCAGGGTGGTGAATGTTCCCTGCTTCCAAATAAAGATATTTATGGCTCCATTTCATGGCCCCATTTTCAGGGATGGTAGAAATAGCACTGACTCTCACACCTAGTGTGGAAGATAGCACCACTTTCAGCCCCAGGTGATGCTCCGTTTTCATGGAGACGGCTTTAATGTTCAAAAATAACAAAATAATATGTGAGATATGTTCAATGACTCTGGGTAAAACATTTATTCAGAGCAATAAATACGGTTATTTTATTTTTTTTCCCTGTTCATGTCTGATTCTTGGAGGCTGCCTGGACAAGACTGTGTAGTTTTCTTGGTGAGGTTTTTCAGACATGCCATTGCCTCTTTCCTAGGGCTGAGAGAAAGTGACCGGCCCAAGGTCACCCAGCCAGTTTTCCTTATATGTCTGTCTGTTGCATATAGTTGTATACCAGGGGTTCTCAACCTTGGCAACTTTAAGACTTGTGGACTTCAATTCCCAGAATTCCTCAGCCAGCAAAGCTGGCTGAGGAATTCTGGGAGTTGAAGTCCATAAGTCTTAAAGTTGCCAAGGTTGAGAACCCCTGTATACCATATTCCCAGGCAGACATTTTCTTTTATTCAGTGATATTTATTGTAAACAAATTGGTTGAGAGAAATTTGAGTTCTGAAGAAGCTGTCACCTAAAAACCTTTTTATTCCCACCCCTTTTTCTTCCTGATCTCAGAGGCTATATGGGACCTTCATTCAGATGACAAATTGTTATTTATAGGATGTAAATCTATCCAACTTTTCCTGAGGAGCTCAAGGTGGCATACAAGGCATTTCCACATCTTATTTTTCCTCATCGCAACCATATGCTGGGAATAGTTGGGTTGAAAAAAATAGAGAGAATGTATGAGATTCTGTGGCTGAAACTGGACTTGATCAACTCCACATGGGCTGTCCGTCTATAGATTGGAGAATGTTAGGAAAATCAATAGTCAGGGCAATATACATGTATTTCTCAGCTGAGCAGGGGGTTGGACTAGAAGACCTCCAAGGTCCATTCCAACTAGATTCTATTCTATTCTATTCTATTCTATTCTATTCTATTCTATTCTATTCTATTCTATTCTGCAATCTGTTCTATCCTACAATCTGTTCTATTCTATTCTATTCTATTCTATTCTATTCTATTCTATTCTATTCTATTCTATTCTATTCTGCAATCTGTTCTATCCTACAATCTGTTCTATTCTATTCTCTTCTCTTCTCTTCTCTTATTCTATTCTATTCTATCCTACAATCTGTTCTATTCTGCAATCTGTTCTATCCTACAATCTATTCTATTCTATTCTATTCTATTCTATTCTATTTTATTCTATTCTATCCTACAATCTGTTCTATTCTGCAATCTGTTCTATCCTACAATCTATTCTATTCTATTCTATTCTATTTTATTCTATTCTATCCTACAATCTGTTCTGTTCTGCATCTGTTCTATCCTACAATCTGTTCTATTCTATTCTATTCTATTCTATTCTATTCTATTCTATTCTATTCTATTCTATTCTATTCTAATTCTAATTCTAATCTATCCTACAATCTGTTCTGTCCTACAATTCTATTCTATTCTGTTCTGTCCTGTTCTGTTCTATTATATTAAGACTATATTTGAGATCAGAACTTCTGTCATTAAGTGATGCAGTTGTTAATCATATTGTGAGTCATCCAGAGTTGGGGTGTAACTCTGTGAGATGGGCGACATATAAATCTAAGAAATAAACAAGCCACTAAAAACGCCTGCTTTATGACCTTTTTTGCTGTTATGTGAATCCAAGCCCCCCCCAATTGACTTGGATTATCAAAAAACACCCTACAAATGGCGGTCATCTGATGCTGGGACACCGCAACTCTTGTAAATACATGCTGGTTTTAATTTTAATCATGTGACCACAGGGATGCTGCAGCCGTCATAAGTGTGAGAACCGGCTGCCAGTCATTTTTTTCTCCAGTGCTGTGGTATAACTTCATTAAACAAATGGTTGTAAGTTGCTCAAGGATGACCTACGTATGAAAGCTTCAGGCTTTCCTAGGAAAACTCTTTGCATTAATTGCAAATCCTTTCCTTGCGTTTTTTCTTCTATCTTACCGAGTGTTGTTTATGCAAAAAAAAGGAAGCCGCGCTCAAGTCTAGAGGTTTTGTTTTTTCCACCCATTTTAGATCATGAAGAACTCTGTGGCAGCAGTTACGGATCTTTCTGTCTGAATGGTGGCATCTGTTATACCATACCTACGGCTTCCAATCCTTTTTGCAGGTAGGCTAAACAACGGACAATTCCGCTTTGCGGTTTAAGGCAATCGCTTTCCCAAAACCGTACAATTCGCTGATGCATTAGCTGAAAGGCAGGATTTTCAAACGGCAGAAATATTCCTCCCCCCCCTTTTAGAGCTGCCCTTGCTGATTCGACCTGGTGTTGTTTTTTTATTGAACTTGAAAAATGTGATACCCAGCCTTAAAAGTGCTTGTTTAAGGGAAGTCTTTTAGAGCCTCTGCATCAGCTAATTTCCCAGGCACGAAGCCTCCGGGAAGTCCCTGGAGAGAGTGAGAGAGAACAGTAGGAAATTCCAAGCAATATTGGCCTAATTGTAGACTGACAGATCGCAGCCGGAAAAGGGATACCATATCAGAGCCGTTGCCTAAATCAGATCATTTCAGAGACTCGTGACGCAAGAACACCTTACGTAACCAAGCAGATGTGTGTGTCCAGAATTACACCATTCCTTTGAATAAATAAGCAAGCACAGGATGGGAATCGATAATTCCCGTTTACTTTTCAGCACTAAACAGTTATTGCACTTTATGGTCAAGGTGGGCATTTCAGCGGAAGAGGAAATATTTCCTAAGTGAAAAGAGAGGCTTTTTAAAATCAGCGCAGTAGCAAATCCCACGGAGATAGTAAAAGGCAAGGACCTCAGCCCTCAATATGTGTTATTTGTGCACAGGTCGTCCTCAGGTTATGACTACAATCGCGCCCAAAATTTATCTGGCTAAGTGAAACATTTGTTAAGTGAGTTTTGTCCCATTATACGACTTTTCATGCCCCAGTTGTTAAGTAAATCATGGCATTTGTTAAGTGAGCCACACGATTGTGAAGCGAATCTGGATTCCCCATTTGACCTTGCTTGTCAGAAGGTCGCAAAAGTTTACCACATGAAAGTTTA